TGGGCTGAAGATCTCTGTAATAATAGCAAAACAGCATATTATCCCACAATTAGTATTAAACATTTTGTTTTATTTATATATTTACTGGCAGTGTTGTCATAATATAAAAATATTGCATTTTTAAAACTGATGAAGTTGGATCACCACAGACATAGAAACTCTTGTGTTGCTTAAAACCAACGTTAATCTTATTACACATTAATTTGTACAACATGTGACTGCCTAGTAGATGATGAGCTTAACTCTGCATTCTGATCTATTGAGTAACTGAACAGTTTATTAACTTGAACTTTTTTCAAGTTCAGAAAAACAAACAAAAATCGCCTTCATTTTGTAAAGAGACTACACATTTAGTGCCAAAAGCATTCAATAATGCTTAACAATCAAAAAGGTGACCTGAGACCAATTCAGGACATAGTTAGCAGGGCTCCCATTATTAATTCAGAATAATAATTCAGGTTTGAATAGCACTATGTGTACTGATTATGTTTCCATGGCTATTTTTTCAGTTTTAAATGAGAGGGATATCAACAACAGTTTCTAACTGTTATGTAGATCTTTGAAATTCTTCATATTATGGAAAACTTAGATTTGGGAAACGTGTTTAAAAAAGTATTTCATTACTTTTCAGAAGGGAAGTTTATGATTAAATAAATAGTGGGACACCAGCAGTAGTATTTAATTAGATTTAGATTTATACAGCGGTTTAGGATTTAAAAGAAGCGTGATCTATTCTGACATTATGTTACAATGGTTTAAAACACAGGCAGCTTATAAGACTGTCTCTTGGGGATCCCTGTTATGGCTTTTGGGCAGTTTGCCATGGTACTGTGCAATGACCACTCCTTTCCCCCACAGTAGAGCGAGTAGAGGAAAGAAAGATCAGTCTCTACTGTGCAAAATGTATCAAGGTGAATGGGGAGTTTCAAGGTGGACATGTATGTGATTTCCTTGCATCTCCTCTATAGATCTGAATGCTAGGTTACTCCTATCACCCTGGTTCAATGCTTCTCTTTCATTTTGAAGAGGAGCTACCAACAGTGATGAAGGTGTACCAGTTTCATAGCAAGATATGTTGGTGTTAAGTGTGCCCAAGAACTAATGCCTAAGCATCAGGTTCAAAAGGACATGGTGCCTCTAAGACTGTCAGCAGAATGACTTGAAGAATGAGCTACACAGGCAGTAGAACCTTGAAACGTGTATGAATTAGCACAGCTAAGCTCAGTAAAGATATTAGACTGCACACTATAGTATTGGGGACCCAAAATGTGCCCAAGCCTACAGCAGTAGATCCACTCAGAGCAACCTGCTATGGAAGGAAAGCCAGGAGCCAGGAGCAGACTCAATACTGAACTAAAGTCTGTGAGGCCAATCTCTAGCCATGAGTAGGAAGACTAACACTTGCTTCCTTAGGACTCTCAGAAAGACCAGAGGTAGGAGTCAAACCCCTGAACTGGGCAAGGCATTGACCAAGCATGAGCTCAAGCTTGTGCAGTCCCAGTGCTCCCTCAGCTAGGTCTGATTTTCTTTGCTGAAAAGAAGAAGTTGGGAATCATTTGTAGGCTGGCCTGTGGTAAGATGTAGTCAGAGCTCCAGAAAAGCAAGCAAGAGAAATGTCGCACTCCCTTTCCAGATCCATAACTGATCTATTTTGAATAATGCCTCATGCCAGATCATTTGTTGTGATGCGGGATTTATAAAAGCCTCCTCGTCTGCCGCGGCAGTGACACAGTGAAATGCATTATGATCTGCAGTGTGGAAACAGTGACAGGGGCTCAGCGGTGTCTTTGAGCTGGAACTCATCCAAACAATTTATGCAGCAGCATTAACAGTACAATATCAGTTGTGGATTCTATCTTGCAATTAATATCCAAAAATGAAATAAATTGTTTTTTTTGGGGGGTTTAATCTATTCTTAGTATAAAGACAGACTCAGTCATTTAATTGTTTCTCATGACACACATTTTTATGGACCTAATTTTAGTTGTAGTGGTTGTACCCAGTTGTTACAAATGGCAGCATTGTGGCAGGATTCTTTTACAAAAAAAATGACATCAGCTGCCAATTTTCTTCTAAAATAGTTCTGCTAAGACTGTAAATATGAGTAGGAGTCTAAGTTTGTGGGTTTGCTGATCTAATAGACTGTAAGACAGATGTCGCTGAGATCTAACTGGGATCTGGTACAAGATCTGGTGCAGTATCACCCAAATTAGTTTTTCCCCAGATATTACAAAAGGCAGAATTATGTTTCACTTCTGCCTCTGTTTAAACTGTAATCAGTTTTAGTGAAGTGGCTTATGCATGCAAATTTAATGAAAGGAATTTGTGGCTGTCTGGTTTTAAGAATAGTTTTTTTTTCTGTAGAAGATGGGGAACCCTATGATGTAGGTGGTGAGTTTAAGTTTGTACACTGTATTGAGAAACATTAAAAACACAAATTGGTTTTGGAGCTAATGTCATGTTTTGTGTTTTTAATGCCTTCAATATGTGGTAAAAAGAAGATTTGTCAGGACATTAAATTAGTCCAGAAAATAACAGAAGCTGGAATTTTAACAAAATTGTAAATGTTTAATGTTAAACATTATCTCCCACCATTAAAAACACAGTAAGATTTGCATTATATCATTACTGTCTAATTTATGTTAATTCTGCAGTCCACAATATACACACAGAATCTGCTGTAATTATAATCTAGATAAGTGATGGATTTTTTTAGCAATGTTGTATTACACTGTGTATTGATTTAAATCCATTTTACCATGCTCATAAACAGGAAGAAATGCACTGTATATAGAAATTTGCAGTTTTTTTCCTTAGAATTTTCCTTCATTGTTAGGCATAGTACTGATTTATAGTAATGACTAGATTATCGGGTCTTTATTTGGGATGTTGTACAGTATGTACTGGGGTTTCATAGCTTAGATTTGTTCCGGGTCTGACATTTTTTTCAGGTGAATAAATGTTTTTACCTTTGGATTAAATGAACACAGTACAGTGAACTAAAGGTAATAGCTAACAGCAGAAAATAAATAGAATTATCCTCTGTTGATTATACAAAGCAGTTCATAACAGAAATTCCAATGTGCACAATTGCTGTAAAGGTCAGCAAAAACATACTGATACTGTAATAGCATGTTGTTTTGTTTTTTAAAACTGTGATCTTAAATATATTTTATCACATAATTAAATAATTCACAAGCAGAATCTGAGAAGGAGGCTCTCAAACATGGTGTATATGTACTGTATACACATACATACTTGAAAAGCACTTGTTCAAACATGAGCATGGTTCTAGGTCTCTTTTTAGTTGAGTTTAAATTAGGGTTTTACAATCACATTCAATCCAGAGTTTACACTGGATATCTGATCTCATAGCAGGGTTTCAGAATGCAAGTGATAGACTGTATCTATTCCAGTGACCTATACAAGTGTTGTCTCATACTGTTCATGATAATACAAACATATGAGTGATGTTTTATATCACTCATGTAATAAAGTTAGGTTAATCACTGAAATGGTCTAATACCATTATGCTGAGTGAGAAGTGTCAGTGACCAATTTTCTTATGTTGTTCATGTCAAGCATGTCAATCATTACATAAGCACAATATTAGTTTAGAATTCTGTACATTATGTGCTGTCCTGTTTTTCAGTGTTGCCATCAACCTAAAGAACTAGTTGAGATTTGTGAAATGCAAATTCTGTTCGAATGAGATATGCAGCTACAATGTAGTTTGCAAATGGGGACAATGTGTCTGACAGTTTCCCTCCTAAGCTGAGAGAACAATACGTTAAGAAAGTGCTTAGAATCTCAGCTTTGTGTTTCATTGCAGCAGGCATTCATGCTGACATTAATTTTGTTTCCTACACTGATTGGTGAATGTGTTGATTCAGCGAGTTGCATCTGAGGCACTTTGATTTACAGTTCATATAACTCACTTACCTGAGACTCGTAAACTCCCAAGAGAAATAATAAGCCCTTAAATTCTTGGAGAATATTATCCTTTTTTTGTAAATTGTAGCATAGTACACACTGCTCCTTTTTAAAAATAGTTTTATTTCTAAGCACAAGATTCTTCTAATGAACAGTTAATTCTATACGCATTGTATTCTATGCACATTGTATACTGTGTGGTCACAGACATATCACTTGAAACAATATTGTTCGCTATTAATTAATTATTAAACTACCTCTATTTAACTGATCTGTTTTTGAAGTACAGTATATGGAGCACAGATTCATTTTAAAGAAATGTTGCAATGTCTCTGGGTAAAACAACAAATTTTAGCAAGGAAAACCATTGCATTTAGAATTATATATCCCAGAATTCTGTGGAGTCGCAGAGGTACTGTATGTTGATTGAATTCCTTTGTGACTGTACATAATGGACAAGTTTATTGATTCACCGGAATTTGTAAATCAGAATAGTAGTGCACGTATCTACTTATCCAGCTCAGCAGTGAGGCGGTCAGTGTTTGTAGTGGGTATTGGAAATTCTGAGGGGTGCATTGAGATTCTAAAGGGCAGTTTGAGGCCTGGTATGCAGAATTATTTTTGCAGTCACTGTGATAGCATATTCAGGATGATTCTGGCCCCTGGCAGAGGACTAACTGTTTGCAGTCGTTTGTTTCTGTTAAAAGCCTTAGACCAACCCATGCTGCGCTTTTCTCTGAGACAGATAAATCTTATAACGTGTGCTCCTCAGCACAATCAAAACTCTATTAAATGAGAGTGAGCTTTAGCCTTCTCTTTGGGATTTTTATTTCATTCATGCTGCCTTTTTATAAATGAGGATGATGTGCTAAATATGTTCACTTCCTTTCCATGCACACAAATGTAAAAAAAAACTACAGGACAGCCCAAGAAAGGAAACACTGTACTTCTTTTTTTTTTTGGAAATAATAAGTAGTCAGCAATCCTGAGAAGACATGGATTTCAATCTTCGCTGTGGTTTCTGGAAGTATTGTTATGATATTTTTCTTTCTCTTGTTTTTTTACAGGTCTGAGCGTTGAGGATGTGTGCCTGTTGGTGATTCATCCTGACTTGCACAGGGAAAAAAAAGAAGATTGATAATGACATTTCTGAAGAAAATGTCTTTAAAAAATGTATGACTGAAAAAGAAAAAAAAAACATCCGTTGCCTTCCGTGGGGCTACATATATCATTGCAGAAAGCCAGCAGCGCAGTCGCCATGGATCCCAGTGAAAACACTGAGATGATGGAGTACCAGGAGGCCTCCACAGAAGGAAACAAGATGAGCAGGAATGATGCTGAAGAAGACAAGTCTCTGTACTACGCCTGCAACATCTGTGGCAAGAGTTTCCCTTTCCAGAGCTCGCTGTCGCAGCATATGAGGAAGCACACAGGCGACAAGCCTTACAAGTGCCCTTACTGCGACCACAGGGCGTCGCAGAAAGGAAACCTCAAAATCCACATCCGCACGCACAAAATGGGCACCCTGAGCCACGGCCACGATGAGGAGGAGGTTGGAGAGGGTCAGCTGGCTGAGGCCGGCGTCTCCGAAGGCCTGGACGGCTGCACGAGTCCCACCAAGAGCACCTCGGCCTGCAACCGCATCATGAACGGCGCTGCCAAGGATGAGGATGGCAAGATCCTGCTGAGGAGCGTGAAGAAGGAGAAGCTGGCGGGCAGCGCCGGCGAAGGGGGAAAGGGCTCCTCCTTCCAGTGCTCCTTCTGCAAGAGGAGGCTCAGCAACAAGGAAGAGCTGGAGCAGCACGTCCAGGTCTTTCACAAGCCCTATCGGTGCCGACTGTGCAGCTTCAAGGCTCTGAGGGAGGACCAGCTTCTGAGCCACATTGAGAAGGTCCACATCACTGTGGAGGCACCTGTCAGGGAGGCCGTCGAGAGCGAAGCCGTGAAAGGGGAGCAAGGTGCCGGTGAAGGGGACTTCCCCTGTGAGGTGTGCAGCCAGGTCTTCAGCCAGGCATGGTTTCTGAAAGCCCACATGAAGAAGCACGTCGGCACCTTTGACCACGGCTGCCACATCTGCGGCCGCCGGTTCAAGGAGTCCTGGTTCCTCAAGAACCACATGAAGTCCCACGGCCCAAAGACGAGCAGCAAAAGCAAACTGAAGAGCGACCTGGAGCCTGTTACTACCATTAATGATGTAGTTCAAGATGAGATGGCAATGGTGAGTGGGCTGTTTCTCTACGAGCTGTGCCCGAAGTGTGGAAACATATTTCATGACCGGGAGAGCCTGAGAAAGCATGAAAAGGTCCACAGCCACAACAGTGAGACCATCCAGCCGGGTAAGAAAAAACCCAGTAGTGAATCAGAATCCACCACACAAAAATGTTTTTTCATGGAGTGCCTGAATCTCCAACCTTCTGGAGTGATGGAAGAAAGCTCAGACAGGAAATCTGGCAAAAGGATTCCAGAGCTCGATCCAGTGTGTAGCTACCAAGCTTGGCAGCTGGCCACCAAGGGCAAAGTGGCTGAAGTCTCGGAGAATGGCAAGTACTTCGGATGGGATGAAGTGCTGGCTGATGCAGATGTGGCGTACGACCGGGAGAAGGGAGAGTACATTCTTGTGGGGCGGGAGAAAAGGAAGAGGGAGCCGGACTCCCACAGCTCAGGAAGCGGGAAAAGACGATGCAGCACCAACAATCACAGCAGCAGCAGCAGCAGCTGCAGCAGCAGCAGTGGCAGCAGCCACACTCACCAACGAGGAGAGAAGTGTAGCTACGCCTCTCCGGGAGACCTCAGCCCGGAGAGCCTCAGTGACTCTGACTACCGGCCCTCGTCCCGCCAGAGCCGAAGGTCCTCGCAGAACAAGAACACGGAGTGTTTCGAGTGCGGTAAGGTGTTCCGCACCTACCACCAGATGGTGCTGCACTCTCGGGTTCACCGCAAGGAGACCCGGAGCAGCAGTGAGAGTGGGAGGGCCTCACGGGGGGAGCGGTGTGGATCTACCAGCGATGGGGAGTCAGGCTCAGTGAGCCGGCCCAGCTCCCCTGGCTCAGCTTCGATCACCGAGGGCTCACCAGCGTCTGTTGCAGGCGAAGACGGTGCAGAGGACCCCTCAGAAGAGGGGGCACAGCCACTGTCTCCAGGTCAGCAGATGCGTTTCTCAGTCTGTTCATTTTTGAGTAGGGTGTGAGATTTCTAGTTTGTTATTTTGGTTTTTAAATCATTGACACACCTTGCTTACAAAGCTGCCTTTTTAGTACTGGACTATTCAGTTTCCAATCATATTATTGTCTGTTGCCACACAGTGTTAAATATGTATGTTAAAGGCTATGAATTGTTTTTCATTTATGCTAAAATTATATGTGTACTAATATGTTAATGAAGCTTTTACAGCTATTCATTTTTTAGCTATAGATCTTAAATTGCCCCCCTGGGGATGAATAAAGTATTTTGAATTGGTAATTTTGCACAATATTAATGCATTTGAAAAGCTGCTGACACAGAGTATACCTTACAGATGCTGTATACACTGCTGTGCAGAAATCTTAAATATTGTACATTGTTGTACTATTTTGCAGAAACGTTTTTATTGTGATCTTCTACTAAGCTTTTAAGTTTATGGATGCGTAGAGAGCAACAAATGATGTTATACCTGACAATGAGTCAATTCAATTTAATTTAATGACATTTAATTAGTGAATGTGATGGATTAGCTACCACAACACTTCATATCGACTTCTCAAGTGTAGTTTACCTTCAGTTGCTGGGATCGGGATTTTGAAGATTCTGATCGATGTGAATTAAAGATTAATAACTGACAAGCTTGGTTTCGTCTTGCCTGAACTGAGATGGATTAATAACAACCAGAGTTATTAAAGGGGCTAAAAAGTAACAATAACTATATTTTTCTGTAATCTGACATCTTAAATTTAATTTTTATGATAGCAGTTCTCACAGATTTGGGAACAAACAGGTGAACCACTGTATAATTAAAGAACTGAGTTTCCCAGAAAGGTTGACGCTTCTTTTCAGGGGAGTCCAAAGAAAATGAATATGAAAGTAGTATCAAACGGTAGTATCAAAATCACATGTACATCAAGTGACCAATGGCTTTGTAGCTAAATGGCTATTTTATTCCATTCACATGTCTGTAGCAGGTTATCAGAGCATTGACACTGAATCCCAAATATGTGACACATGCATAGCAAGAAAAACACTGTACTAAAAATACTCGCACTCGGCAATGGAGCCTTGTAAGGCTTGCTTAATTGAAGGACTCTAAATGTGAGTGCTTCTGTATCGAGCAGCTTCTGAGACATTCATTAGAATTGCAAAGCCAGCATACGAAGTGGATGGTTTTTATAACGAAGTCTGTGCAACATAATACAAGGGTCTTTTATGTAGTACTAGCAATTATGAATACTAGCAATTATGCTCAGCTGAATTGTTGGAATTTGCATTATATTTGTAGCCCTTGATATCAAGATGTAGACAGGCATGAAAAACATTCTACAAACCTAATTAGTACCATTAGCTTGTGAAAGAAGTAGAAAGAATAACTGTATTATTCATGTATTCCAGGAAACAGTAATATTGACATTCACCGTGAAGGGCAAGGTGGTTGGGTAACTTTTTTAATCCTCATGGGGTTTTTAATATTTTTATTCCACAATGTATTTTCAGAGTTTAAATCAAGTCTCTAAGCTTAATGGCACATGTTTATCAAAGACAATGTCTATTTCAATGACATCTGAATACCCAGTTCTTGTTCTGTGCAATTGATAGATTTACATCTGCATCTGGTTGCTTGTGAAATGCCTTTTGTCAGTTCTCTCTCCTGAAGTGAATGCAATGTTTTGAACAGTGGAAGCAGGAGACACCCAGTGGTGAAACATGACACAGCAGACTGTGGATTCAGTGTTCATGAAACAGATCTAGACAATGTACTGAGAGCCAGCTGCACGTTGGGATATTCATAAAACCTCCTTTATTTCAGTGTTCGTTGTTTTCACTCTCGCTCTTTTTACAGTAAGTGTGCAGGTCAAAGATAGATCTAAGATTATTTCTTTTACATTATGAGAAGTAATTGACCCAGGATATGAAAGGACAGATAAAGAGAACTACTGTTGTCAGCTTCTTCAATAAATTTCACTCCATCTCTGTCATATTGTGTGGTACTCGCTGGTCTTCCTAATTCCTGTGCAAAAGAGTCTGTTGTTGGATTTACTAAGACTGTATGTGGGAGGTATGGTGGTGCAGTGGTTAATGTTTCTGCCTCACAGCACTGGGGCCCTGGGGTTGAGATGCTGGGATAGGCTCCAGCTCCCCCATGACCCAGAACGGGATGAAGCAGTTAGAAAATGGATGGATGAGTTGTATGGTATACTGTATGTTGATTGTCTGTAACTGTGCTGAAATTCCCTTTTTAAAATGGTTCCTTGGCGGCTAACCCTACCTACAAACACACTTTCTGCTGTCAGCTTTTAGAACTGTTCAACGTCTCTTTCTGGAAAAAAACAACAACTTTTCACTCACACCACTTGATGTACAGGAGGGAACTAAAAAGGGCAAGTGATGCAGTGTCTTGATTAAAACTGAGCTCCCCACTGAGCTGCGAGACTGTCCAGTTGTCAATGTTTCACTTAGTATTAGCAGTGGGTTTCTGTATGTACGTCTGTGTCAGGCCCTGCATGTCATTCAGGCTGTTATCAGTCGGTGCTGTTTATGTCTGTTCTGTTGTAGCAGAGCTAGGAGACACATTTATTTTGTGTTTCATTCGTGATGACTCTCCACCTAGCCAGGTCAAAATCTCACCTCCAATATATTGAAGTACTGTAATCTGCCCTACAAAAAAAAAAAAGTTGGATTGGTGCACACCAAATTGTCAGTTTTTTTAAATGGGAACAGTTTGGCTCGTGCAGTTCATTTAAAAGAAATAGAGCTTGTACCCCTCTGAAAGTTGTTTCTAAGCCATTGTTCACCTGTGCAGTTGCTAATATAGTAAATATGAAACAGTTCCACTGTTGAAGCAATTCCACTGAAATATAACTGGTGGAGAAAAAGAGCTTCAAGTGCACTTGGAAACCTATTTCTACACTTTTTGTCGCAGGGAGCCACCACTCTAAAGGGATAAAGCTTCATATACAAAAAATCCATTAATCTAAGGCATGGACATTGTGAAACAGGTGGAATTTGTCTCCTTTTTGGACAGCTAGACCTGAGGCCGATGCTGTGACCTCTACTTTCCTTGGCCTGACCCCAGTCCTTGCACAGACTTGATATTCTGTTATTATGCATATCACGTTTCTAAAAACTCTTCAGTTCACTTTTTAAAATTTCTTATCATTGATGTGCAAGACAGGCTTTTCTGATATGCTTGTCATATAATGTTCCTCATGTACAGTATATTTGCCCCCCAGGTTCCAGTTCACTCACAACTGGGTTTCTGGTTTATGCTAGGTGTAAATATGTATATAGCAGATACTGTAGGCACATGCAGTGTTCTGACTGCTATTTTATACAATGAAAAAGAAATGATAAATTATAAATTCATAGTAATCTGTATTGTACCGTGGTCACAGTGGTATGACCATGGTGGTTAATATAAAAATATTCTGAAAACCTTATCATAAAATGTACACAGTGTCAATATAATACAACTGAAAATAATATTGAAATGAGGTGAAGAATATTAAATGTCATTCCTGTGTCATTCCCTTTGCCTTATCCTGCCTTGTATGTAGAGGACAATATTATACAACTGAAAATGTTTTAAAAACAATAGCAAAACAAATAATAATTCAGCTGACAAAGATGTTTGAAATCCAATATATTTTTCCTCTTACTGTGGGCAAAATGCCCGTTTTAATGAAAATGAATTAGAGGGGGAAGTTTGCACATGGTTAGCCCACAGTGGAAAATTGCACGCTGCATTTTTCAAAAAAACACTTTTCCTGGATGTTTCATTTACAACAGGAGTCACTTAAATGATCTTTAAAGAAGGAAGATGCAGTAGATACTGATCATCTATTGCCATTCATTATAAAGAGTATTTTCAATAGCCTATTGATTGAGAGGTTTTAAATTTAATCATCATGCCATTAAACCAAGCAATCTCCAGACCAGATATCCTGCTGAAGAGTCTCATACAAACAAACTTGTACATATTTTAGATGAAATAGTGAATAATAATTAAAAGAGATTTTCAGATCCAGAGATTTTTTTTCCAGTCAAATGTTGCCTAGGAAATACTACATTGCAGGACTTTGTGAGTTCTGAGCTGGTGACTTGAGTAAAACTGAGAAGAAAAAAGAGTAGTGTTTCCTTGGTATTGTGGTGCTCCATGTTCTGGTGGTGTGAAGTGTGTTGAACAGCCTTTTCTTAAACCTGGTGGGTGCTGACATGCCACCACTGTTCAAAATCAAGGCAAGTGACAACTTGAATAACTCTGTCTACAGTAACTCGGAGGTGATGAACAATACTGTGTCATTCTGCATTATACCACTGTATAAGAGTTTAGGTCCTACATGTTTCATAGATTGTTTATCTTGAAATGCTTATTACTAGATTCAGGCTGGGATGGACAGGTTGCTGCTGTAATTAATGTCAGGGACTAGTAGGGGGTGCTGTTTTCCATGAAATAATGCCCCAGAATGGAGACACTGTATTATAGGAGGCACTGTCCTTTGAATGAGCTGTTAATATTGAAAATGTTATGATTTTGAATATTGTGAATATTAAATGACTACTTGGTGATCACATGGCACTGTTCATAGGATTAGGAGTGTTAACCCAGGTGTCGAGCTAAATCCCATTCTGGGCTTGAACAGTCTGCCTCAATTAATTTAGGTCTCCCTGTGGTGGAGTGGGGCTGCTGGTACACTTCAGTGCTGGGTGAAATGGGCCACCTCCTTTGTGAAGAAGTATTTTGGAATCCTTTGGGATGAGAATTCTGAATCTCAGAAATTCTTAGTCTTTTCAGAAGGTGGAGGATAATAATCATTTCTTCGACACACCATCTATTACTAACAGCAATGAACAATATTGTTCTGCATTACCTTAGTCTGGCTCAAATTGTGTAAATTAATTCTGAACCAGTTGTTTTGAACAAACTGTGTTGGCTTACATCAAAGTAAGAATGCTC